CAGCGGCCCCCCCAGCCCGCCCCGCTCGGGGCTCAGGCCGCTGCGGCGACCCGCACGTCGGGGAGCCCCCGGCGCCTGTGGCTTTTGTTTTGGTTTTTTGAATTGGTATTGGTATTGGTATCGGTACTGGCATTTCATTGGGGGCTGGTTTTATTTGGATTGTTTTTTAACAGGAGCGAGATCCCGGGTGAAACGAGCCCGGGGTCGACGCGGCCCCCGGGTGTTTCTCTGACTCTGCCCGGAGTCGAGCCCTTGCAAACGTGTCGTTTGGGGCCGGGAGCGGCCCGAGCAAGCCCCCGCGAGAGCCCGGGGGTCGGGCTGCTTCGGTGTCGTCCCCGCTTCTCTTCGGCTTCCCGGCGCTCGGTGCCGGAGGCCGCACGACCCGCCCCGGCGTTGGGGTTGGGGTCGGGGTCGGCGTTGCGGGGTTTCCCCCTCCCGAGAAGGCCGACCCATTTCCTCGGGGCAGAATTCGTTTCTTTCCTTTTTTAAACATAATTGCAGAGCAAGGGGAAATGCTTTTTGCACCCGGATCCCGCCCAGGCTGCGGTGCGGGGAGTGGCCCGGCTTTCTGCGGGGCTTGGGGCTTGCTTTTGCTGCTCTTGTTTTCACCTCCGCCCCGCTTGCCGAGGGCCGGCCTCGGGAGCGTAACCTCTCGCTCCTTTTCCAGCCCGGCCGCCTCTTTATTTTTTGCGGGGTCTCGTCGGGGCCCCCCCAGGCCCGGGGCCGCTGGCTTTCCCGGGACACCTCTGCGTCCAAGCGACCCCCGGGGCTTTCCTGACCCCCTTTTCCACCCCCCACCCCCTCCCAGGAGGATGTTCCCCCCGTTCAAAGTGCGGGTGAGCGGCCTGGACAAGAAGGCCAAGTACATCCTGCTCATGGACATCGTGGCGGCCGACGACTGCCGCTACAAGTTCCACAACTCGCGCTGGATGGTGGCCGGCAAAGCGGACCCCGAGATGCCCAAGCGCATGTACATCCACCCGGACAGCCCGGCCACGGGCGAGCAGTGGATGGCCAAGCCCGTGGCCTTCCACAAGCTCAAGCTCACCAACAACATCTCGGACAAGCACGGCTTTGTAAGTAGGGCGCCGGGCCCGGGGCTGCTCCCCAAGCCCGCCCGGAGACCCACCGAGGGGCGCAGCCCTGGAGGGGAGGGGTGCACCAGGCCGGGGCTGAACGGCCCCGGGTCTGATCCCGGAGGGGCTTGCTCTGCCGCAGGGCCAGGCCGTGCGGGGCCAGGCCGAGCTGCGGGCAGCCGCGCGGGGTCCCTGGGAAGCGGCGGGGCAGGGAGAGGCA